CCACGTACGATTTTGATGCCTTTAAATCTGAAACAATGTATGTTGCGTGCGATGATTTAATGGTTGATGGACTAGCCATTGTCAACCAAACTCTATCGCCAAATCTGGCTACAATAGTGTTGCCAGAAGCGCACAAATCCAAAGTGTCTCTTCCCGTGAACAACACTGTTCTAAAGGACACACCAATTGGAAGTGGCTTGCAAAAGCCACTACAAAGAAGTCAGTATCGACTTACTTCTATTAAGATTGAAAACAAGAACCAGGGTCGAGAACCTGGTTACAATCACGTCGAGCATAGCAAGCTCACGTATGATGGGTTGTCTAAGCAACATCGCAATGGTGTTCAATCTAAGCCGCTAGGGGGGCATGAGATCCCACCGCATGGTCGGTTGATGGAAAAACAACATCGCAAGTGGCAAATAAGTTTGCCAAATCTGTCCTATTCTAGGAAAATTCAAACAAGGATAGCAGCAAAAACTTTGCAGTGTGGGGGTGGCCACGTGAAAAAATCCAATGCCACCAAAGTTGGCATGAATCAACGGAATCCTCTATGTAAATTGTCCCCAAAACCTCCACTGAGGAGAGAGGGGGGCAAGTTCGATCAAACCCGACATGGGGTTGCCACACCAGTGCTGGCTGGGAACAAATCCATGAGTGATGGTCAGGGGGGCAAGTATAATACTCTACAAACTCCAAAATCACACGGGAGCTCAAAAGAAACGATATGGATGTGTGGTAAGTGTCGTGGTAAACAAAACACTCACACACTTGTCGGTGAAGCTCGCAAGCATCGGTGCTTATACTCACAGCAACGTGGTGAGAGTGCGAAGCTGACAAAACCAGACCTGTCTGGGCAAGCGATGCCACATGGTCGATTTGACAGGACAAAGACGTTAGAAAACTTCAATGTCCCGCCAAGAGTAAAAAACACTGGTGATTTTCTCTGCCACGACCCTGTGGCTAAGATGAAGCCAAATCGAGCTCGTGGAATTTCAAACCAAGGTGTTCGAGCTAGACGAACTGGAGAGCTACAAACCACCATTGATTCCAAGACATCAAAACCAACGCGTGTGAAGCCAGTTGTGATGAATCATGGACTTTACGGATGGCTTTGTTGGTTTGATCCATGGGGTTGGCAGTGGGTGTGGACTTTCGGCATAATGATTTATGTCAAAGTCTAGCCGTTATTTATTTATTTAGATATTATTAAGTAAATAGAGTGTGGCTAATTTAGGCCACGAGAAAATTACTATATATATAAAAAGTAGCATGGCGCAGCTTGCCGCATCGTTGCGAACAATATTAAATTTTTAGATTGGGTCGCTTTGGTTGAAAAAAAAAAATATTCAGCTCTGCCGCTGTTTCGAAACAGCTCTGGTGGAGAATAATATAAAAAAAAAAAAATTGCAGGCCTGGTGCTAGCAGCGCTGGTAGTGAAAAATATTTAAAAAAAAAAAAACTCAGTTCCGGCCAAAGCAGCCCTGAGAAAAAAGCAGAGGGGTGGCGGCAACTCAGCCCATCATAAAAAAAAAAAAAATTTAATAATAATAATAATAATACATGCAGCGCTGGGCGCTCAGCCGGTAGGAAATTTTTTTTTTTTAATAAGTAGCTTTGGGGGAAGAGGCCGCCAGGTCTGAGAAGGAAAATAAAAAAAAAAAAAAACAATCAGTTCTGCCGCAAACAGCTCTTGTGGAATTTAACAAAAAAAAAAATAATAATAAAACAAAAAAGTAGAGAGGCGGCCAAACAGCTCTGCGGCTGTTTACCAGGCCGTGAAAAAAAAAAAAAAAGTAATTTTGGGCAGGCAGAGCTGGTAGCAGCGCCGTTGAAAATTAAAAAAAACAAAAATTAAAAGATTTCCAGTTCTGCCGCAGCAGCCCTGGCAGAAAATAAAAAAATAAAAATAATAAAAAAAAAATTGTCGCGCTGATCGCTGTTTCCCCAGCGGTGAAAAAAAAAATATAGCAGCTCTGCTGCTGCCGCAACAGCCCTGGCGGAAATAGTAAAAAAAAAAAAAAATAATAATAATAAATAAATAAATAATTTGAGGCAGCGCTGGTGAAAACAAAAAAAAAATGAAAATTAAAAGGTTCTCAGCGCTGCAGCGCTGATGGAGAGTTCTAATAATAAAAAAAAATTATGCCCGTTCTGGCCAAAGCTGCGCTGCGGCTGTAGTGGAATTTAACAGGCCTGACAAAAAAAAAAAAAAAAATTATAAAAAAATCACAAGATCAAGACAACGCTGCCGTGGGTGCAGCCTTGCAGTAGAATTGCATGCCACTTTTACTGTTTTTTGCCAAAATCACCTTTGGCAAAACGTGATTTGTGGATTTTCTTGCCAAAGTTGATTTAATTTTAGGTGGTATAAGTTGTGACAACAATTTGGTTCATAATTCTTATAAACCAAATTGTGGGGGGCATTTGTTGACACCTAAAATTAATTCGGCCGGAATTAAATGCCGCATTAATTAGTCTCGGCATTTAATTCGATACCGCGGGTAAAAAACGGTGTCGTTTGGAGACAAGCGGCACCGCGGAGAGTTAAAACGGTACCGTAAGGAGGCTCAGCGGAACCGCGACACCGGAAACGACACCGCTGGCCGAAAATAAAAAAGGGCCGCGCGTTTAATGAAGGTTGGATGAGGAGTTTTGATTATTTAATTATTATTTATATTCCTTGTTGGATAGGGATAAGCGGCACCGCGGAGAGCTAAAACGGTGCCGCGGAATTAAAAACGGTACCGCGAGGAAGCCCAACGGTACCGCTATACTAGCAAACGACAGTGTTTAATAATAAACAGTGTCGCGGAAGAAAAAACAAACGGAGCTGGTTGGGAAAGAAAACGACACCGCAAGGCTGGAAGCGGAGTCGTTTAATATTAAAACGATGTCGCGGGTAGAATCAAGCGGAGCTGTTTGGGAAAGGAAACAACATCGCCGGATCAGGAAAACAACTCACGTAAAGTTCACGCGAAGCAGTTTGAGGAGCGAAGCGGTTGAGACACGTGGGATTTCACAACGGAGCAGTTGAGGAAGCGGTTCCACCGAGCGTGAAGACTACGAAGCAGTTTTTCGAATAAAAGCAGTGGAGCAAGGAGAGAGAAGGGAGAACCAAAAATCAACACAGATCAACTCTGTTCAAACTTTACCTTTTCTCTGTAACTCCTTCGCGGAGCTCTCCTTCCAGGAAGGATCTCCATAGTTGTAGTCTTAGTCGTAGTCGCGGAGCTCTCCACAGGAATCTCCATAGGAGTAGCGGTAGCGTAGATTCCTCAAAAACTCAAACACCCTCGTTCGAACGTAGTTTGGAGAGGTGCGAACCGAATAACGGTTGTTTGATTAGAAGTCAAGGGTGTATCGATCAAATCAACGACGCCGACACCGGCGGCGGATATTTGACGATCTTCTTTGTTTTCTGTTCGATCGATCAAATCAACATCGCACGGCGGTGGATATTTGACGATCGTCATCGTTTTCAGAAGTCAGAGTTGCACCGATCAAATCAACGACGCCGACATTCGGTGGCGGATATTTGACGATCTTCTTTGTTTCCTGTTCGATCGATCAAATCAACATCGCACGGCGGTGGATATTTGACGATCGTCATCGTTTTCAGAAGTCAGAGTTGCACCGATCAAATCAACGACGCCGACATTCGGTGGCGGATATTTGACGGTCGTCTCGATTTCAGCTATCAGCGGCGCATTCGATCAACGGCACCGCAAGAGTTTCCATCGCGAAACATCGAATCAACATCGCCGAAAACCAATTCGGCACCGGCGGTGGCATTTGGTTTTTCCGAGGAAACACTCTCCACTTCCCTCACCGCACACCACCCCTTCACACACACATGCACACACTCTTTCTCTCTCAAAGAGATCGACGAAGAATTGTTTATCTCGACAAAATTTCATATATGGATTTTTCATATTGGTATGTATTTTGTATATTGATTTTGATTTTTTCAATAGTTGTATTATTTTTTCGCATTGGTATTGATTATGTAATGTTATTGATTTTTTGGTATTGACGTTATTGTATTGGTAGTGATCTTCATGCATTGGTATTAGTTAAATCTGCAATGATATTTGTTAATAAGTGGTATATGTTGTGGTAGCGGTAGTGCTTTTATAGTTTGGTATTGATTTCTTATTTTTTCTATAATGATATTAGTATTTTTCGAAGTGGTAGTGATTGTCTAATGGATTAGTATTGGTGTTTATTGAAGTGGTAGTGATTGTCTAACGGATTGATATTGATTTCTTGTTTTTATTTTGCAGTGGTATTAATTCGGAAGAATAGAGACAAGAAAAAGATTGAGAAAAAAAAGAAGAAAAATCTGGCTGAAGATTACAAAGTGAGAGAAAGGAAAAGGGAAAATTTTAATTAATATTTTATTATAACGTTCTAAAATGTAACTTATTAAAGAGGTAATTAATAAATATTTTTTTCATACCCAATAAGCCCTTAGTAATCATGGTGATTACTGTTTTCTAGTAATGACTATAACCACTCCCCATGTATCATATATGACATATAAATATCAAAGTTTAATTTATAAATTATTGTAGAGTTGAGCTCGAGCTGAACTCCTAATCTTAATTATGAGTCAAGTATGTTTTAATAAAAGAGTCACTTTGGCTTAACTCTTTTACAAATGTGCCAAACTTGAACTCAATCTCGACTCATTTATTAACGAGGCAAACATAAACAAGACAAAGTTTGACTCGACTCGGCCCTATTTATAACTTGTTTTATGAGGAAGAAAAAATAGCTTTATAAATTATTCTTAATACCTAACCCAAGAAAAAGCCCAGCCCAGCCCAGTCCAGAAGTAACGAGGGAGAAGACCAAGTAGCACAATCTCCGTAGAAGTCCACTGAAAAACCGCCACCTCTCCCTTTCTCTCCCTCCTCTCTGAGACTGAAACATCTTCCTTTTTATTGTTATCTTTTTTTAACTCACTCACTTATTAGTCTTCATCTTCCCTCTCTTCTCTCCCACACCCCAAAACCCCTCTCCTCTCTTCGGCTTCCCAAATCAAGATCTGAATCCTCCTCCGGCCACCACCACCGTCAGCAAGCATCAATGGGGAAAGGCGGATCTCTGAGCGACTCCGTCCTCAAAAAAATCCTCCTCTCCTACACCTACGTCGCAATCTGGATCTTCCTCTCCTTCACCGTCATCGTCTACAACAAGTACATCCTCGACAAGAAGATGTACAATTGGCCCTACCCGATCTCGCTAACCATGATCCACATGTCCTTCTGCGCCTCCCTCGCCTTCGTCCTCATCAAGGTCTTCAAGGTCGTCGAGCCCGTCTCCATGTCGCGGGAGATGTACATCTCCTCCGTCGTCCCCATCGGCGCGCTCTACTCGCTCTCCCTCTGGCTCTCCAATTCCGCATACATCTACCTCTCCGTCTCCTTCATCCAGATGCTGAAAGCCCTGATGCCGGTCGCCGTCTACTCCATCGGGGTCGCGCTCAAGCGGGAGAGCTTCAAGACCGACACCATGGCCAACATGCTCTCGATCTCGGTGGGCGTCGCGATTGCCGCGTACGGCGAGGCGAGGTTCGACGTCTGGGGGGTGATGCTCCAGCTGGGAGCCGTCGCGTTCGAGGCCACGCGGTTGGTATTGATTCAGATCTTGTTGACTTCGAAAGGGATTACTCTGAATCCGATTACTTCTTTGTACTATGTCGCCCCCTGTTGCCTGGTTTTCCTCTTTATCCCTTGGATCTTCGTCGAGTACCCTGTTTTGAGGGAGACGTCGAGTTTCCATTTCGATTTCGTGGTGTTTGGGACCAATTCGTTCTGTGCTTTTGCCCTGAATCTCGCCGTTTTCCTGCTCGTGGGCAAGACGTCGGCGTTGACCATGAATGTGGCTGGGGTTGTCAAGGATTGGCTGTTGATTGCCTTCTCGTGGTCGGTCATCAAGGATACTGTGACTCCGATCAATTTGGTTGGGTACGGGCTTGCATTTTTGGGCGTTGCGTATTACAACCATGCCAAGTTGCAGGCATTGAAGGCTAAGGAGGCGCAGAAGAAGACCCAACAGGCGGATGATGAGGAGCAAGGAAGGTTGTTGGAAGAGAGGGAAAGTGAAGGCAATGGCAAGAGAAGTGAATCGCAGAACTAATAATCTCACTTGTCTCCTTCTGATTTTTAGTTTCTGCTATGAAGTAGAAAAGAAAAAAAAATTTAGTTGATTGGGAGGTGGGGGAAGGAAGAATGAGGCAATAAGAGCAAAAGGGTGGCTGAGATTGAGGCCGAGGAGGATTTTGGTGCTGTAAAGGTTAGGGTTTTGGCTGGGCTCTGAGGTCTGGTCTGACCATGGCCTTTGATAGAGGGGGAGAGAAGAGGAAGAAGAAGAAAGGGAGCTGGTGTGGCTGCCTGGCATTCTGCCATTTACCTCAGTTCCCATTTACTCATTTCGGTAATGTTCGGTTTCTCTTGTCTAGACTTTTACGTTCTTCTTCTTTTTTCTGTGCTAGTTGTCTCCTTAGTTCTTATGGAGAGGTTATTCGAGATTCCAGCAGCAGAGGAGTAGTCTTGAATTACCTTTATTTATTTATTTATTTTTTTTTTTTTCTGCGTTTAATGTTGCACTTGGTAATGTAGGAAGACAGGCGACTTCTATTGATGATAATGAGTATCAATCTTTTGATTAGCACTTATTTATTCATATTCATGCAGTCTCTTTTCAAGTATTTCCTGGTCATGTGTTTGAGATCTCTGATCGAAAATGTCACTGGTTCATCAATTTTGAAGCTTTCAATGTTACTCCCTGTTGGATATGGATTGAGCTGTGGCTACCGAGAAGGGTCGTCGTCATGATTAATGTTGAATGAAACTGAGGCATCATAATGTATTGCTTTGCTTGTGAAACTGGTGCTGCCTTTAACGAGGGCGGGTACATTTTTAGCTGTCTATCCTTGTTAAGGACGTTTTCTTCAGGATCTGCATTTAAGGCTCTGCTTGTGAGTTGTGATCACTGATCTCCATTTAAGACTTAGTTGGGGGGTTTCCTTTGGACCAATGGTTGTTGTGTGTGTTTCTTGGATAATTTATCATGGGTATTAACGGCGGAGCCAGGAATCGTAATGAGACGGCTGATTTGGGGATGAGGGCGAAAGCCTTAACCAACTACTCTATTTCCTAAATTTGTTCTGATTTTACATGTAGTTTGGCCTATATTTTATAGTTTAGGAGGGCTATAGCCCCTCGTGACTTCAACGTAGCTCCACCACTAAGCGGTAAGTTTCGTCTTGCATCATCAAAACCCCTCTAAAGCTTGAATCACATTTTCAACTTGAATCATAGGGACAACATTCATCTCACCCTCCCCTACTCATAGAAACCCCCTTGGTAGTCGTTGCTGTTGGTAGCTATCACCATATGGAGCTTTACATCAGTAGTGTTTGTTGTACCCTTGTGGCCTTGTGTTTGGTCACATAGGCTTTTTGTTGGAAAGGGATGTTGAATTGTCATATCTCATAGCTCGTTAAAGTTTGCCTTTTGGATTGTAACTTAACTTGTAAGAAAGCAGCCTGCATGAGGGTTGTTTCTTGCTATCCAACACGTACCCTTCTTTGGCTCTGAAAAGGCTGGTTTGGTGCCAGTAACTGAAAAAGGAAATGAGTTTTGATAACAAGAAAAGAGCGAAGTGATGATTGGTCTGGTCTATCACGTGTTACGGGAGGGAACACTTTGCTTTTGTTGCCTGAAGAGCTGAAACAACAACTGAAAAAGGAATATGAATTCTGGTGTTCAAACTTCAAAGTGTCGGTGCAGTTAAGTTGTATGGGGAAACTGCAGCCTTGGATTGGGGTCTTAGAACCTGAAAGACATAGTTGTTGCAGCAGAAGAGATGGTGATGACTCCCAGAGGTGAAGAAGAGTCCGTTTGTTTAGGTACGCGTGACGGTGGGTTTTCCCCCCACATAAATGACCAAGTTTGCTGCTTTTCTCATATCGACTGTTTTGTACTAATTACTAGGGGAAAACACACACACTAGTGCTTCATTCATACAAGTAAAAACAAATAAGACTAGGACTTATCGCACTTGTATATTGTTATGTGATGACTCGTGGTATCTCAGAGCATCTTCAACGGCATCTATCGTTGGAGCCGCCGCCGTCCGAAAAGCATCTTTTACTGGCCAAGTAGTGTAGCCGGCCGACCTCAGCTTCCAGAATAGGGAAAACAACAACAATGGGAAAAGAAGAGATGCCAATACAAATTACCTTTGAGTTCCCAGCATTTGTCAACTTGTTCCTAGTATGTATTCTGTTAATCTGTTATGAGTGTAAGCATATGTTATGCCCTAATCAAGCCATTTTCGACGATTTTTCAATCACGTGGTTGTTTTCCGTCTTTTAAATTTTGAATGGCTAAACATCGCCCTAACTTTATTAATATCGCCCTAACTTATTTGTTGAAATTACATAATAGTCCAATTTAGAAAAAAAATCAAAACGCTTTTTAAATCACATAACTCTCCGCATCGGAACACAACAAATCAGCTGTCGGCAACTTCCTCCGCTGCAACCACCTCAATCCTGCCGCCTCCGTCCTCTTGTCATCGTTAGAGGTGTCAATTGGGCGGGTTGGGTGGAGTTCGGATTGATGACACGCTAAAACACAACACCTAACAATGGCCAAGTGTAACCAATGAAAGGGACTGCAGTATAGTGGCACAAGTAATAAATATCGAATCCACGGGTCGCTAGAGTTACTATTACTCAGCTTCAGTTTATTATCTAGCAAACTAGATTAAGGATTGATTTACTAAACTACTCTACTAATTACAAGTTGAGAACTCACTTAGGTATGATTCCCCCTAACTCCTCAATTAGGTCCAAGTTGCAATTACCATTGGTTGATCTACAGTTGATTAAACTGCGGAAGATCCTAAATTAGCTTGGAATCTCTTAAGCTGACCAAGCCCTCTTAGACAGAATACCCGGCAAGCGACTAGCCTTCACCGGGATAGACTGCTAAGGCGATTCACACAGATCTCCACTACTGGAATGAATTCCAGTACAAAGCAGTGAATTGATTGACTCTCGCACAACCAATTCACCACTATCAATCAAGGAAGCTCTCCTAACCTAATCAGATTCTATCTATCATAGGTTAAAGCAGAAATCAAGAGAAGATGATCAAGCTTCAATTGACTCAATAAATCATGCCTCAATCGATTATAATCAAACAATATAGCATCCAAAACTTCATACTAGAAAGATCCTAACACATGGAAATAGGGTTCCTCAAAACCTAAGTGAAGGGAAGTTACTCCATAGAGAAGAGAGAGACTGCAGAAATCTGATCTAGATCTTCAATCTCCATCTCCAAGCTTGATTCCCGAGCTCCATTGGCAAAGAAATCCTCCAAAATAGCTCCAAGAATGTTCCCAAGTCTCTCTCTCTCTCTCTAGGGTTCGTCCCTTGGGTGTTTGGGAACCAAAACCCAGCTCTCCCTTTCCTTTGGCTTGAATCTGCCTCAAAAACCCGATTTTGGGCAAAACACGATCGAGGACACGACCGTGTTTTACTTTTGCCCGCCCGTGTTTTGCCCCCAGCAGCCCTCACGACACGCCCTCGGCAGTAAAAACACTAGCGGGTGCCAGATAAAACACGGCCGTGTTTTTAGGGTAGTCTGCCCGTGTTTTTACTGCCGAACCTGTTCCCCTATATTCAATGCTTCGTTTCTCCCTCGTCCGGACTTCGAATCATTCGTCGTTTGATCCCAGATGCTCATAGTCTCGTCCTCTTTCTTTTCATGACAAGCTTGAATGATTCTTTATCCATAAAGCGAGGTAGACATCCATTCTTCTTCAGGTCATGCCCGAGTTTCTTCTCCCGAATCGCCAATTGATCTCTGATTGACTTGAAACTTGCTTCTATGCCTCCATTTACTCACTAGGACCTGAAATGTGACAAAGGAACACAACCTACCGTAAAATAGGCCAAAAAAAAGTGATAATGCAAGCTTATACTATCAAGAAACAAAGGGGAAAACATGTGCAAATATCGAGTCATCAATTGGGTCTAACCGGGTTGGGTTCAATTGGGTTGCGAGTTCAATCAGGTCGGTTTCAATTTGGATCGGGTTTAATTGGGTTGCAGGTCAATTGGGTTACGAGTCCATCAGGTCATTGGTCAATTGGGTTACGGATCGGGTCGGGTTATGGGTGCATCAAATTACGGGTTTATTCGATTGCGGGTTAATTCGGTCAAGTCAGATTATGGGTTGTTCGGGTCAACCCATTGGATCATTTACTTCTTGTTAGAAAATAATGTTTTACAAACTATCAATATATGAATATAAATTGTAGGTAATGATACAAAATTTAAGAAAATGATAATATGATAATATTTTACACATACAAATTAAATATCCATTATGTTAGTATAAAAACTAAATATAAATAAAATAGTATATATAAAAGCTTTGTTGTTGGTTATAATTTTTTTTGTTTACGGTGAGAGATTGTAACTTCACTTATTTTATTAATTTATAAAAAATTGAATCAGTAAAAATTTGAGAATGAAGTAAAAAAGGTAGACTATATGCTTATACATCTCAAAATGAATCGTTTTAATTAAATATAGTATGAACTAGATGTGTGTCTCTTCATTTCCACAAAGACTTATGAACACCATTCCGAATCACCCACTTATATATCTTCACTATTTTTTATATATTCACGGTAACATCTCATCCTAAAACTCATGGGTCGAACAACGGTTCGCTCAAATATGATATTATCATCTAGTTCGAATCGTTGATTTATTAATTAAAAAAAATCAGTAACAAGTTGAGAATGAAGTAAAAAGGGTAAACTATCCACTTATATATCTTGATAGGGATCATTGATTTTGGGGATTTCATTGATTTTCAAGGTTGATTTTTTTAATATAGTTATGAGTGGTGGAGTTACGAATTTGTGTCTAACTCTTCCTATTATCTTCAAAAATTTATCCTTTGAATTTCATAAAATAAAAAATGAATGAAAAGATATTTCACATATTATTATTTTAAAAATTAAATATTTAAGAAAAAACCTCAACTTATACCATCAATTATACAAATAATTTTCAATTATTATGAGAACAACAGTTCTTTCTTGATAAATTTAAAAATATTATAATGTATACATTGAATTTTTGTACAAGCATTCGGGTCAAATGGGTTATTCGAGTTGGGTTCGGGTCGGTTACGGGTTATTTGGGTTATGAATCATTCGGGTTATAGATGGGTCAGGTTAAGGGTTGGATCGGATAACGGGTTCATCGAGTTATGGGTTGATCGGATTACGGGTCAATTAGTTTTGGGCTAAGGGCGGGCTTCAGGTAGTTGAATTTTTGTCAAATCGGGTTATGGACGGGTTGTGGGTCGGGTGGATTGGACAAATTAGTTGGGTCGGGTTCAATTTTGACAGCTCTAGTCGTCGTTGGAACTCTCCCCCGTCGGAAGGCAGCAAATCTGCCACCGCCGACGTCCTCCGCTGCAACCAAGCGACCAACCCAATCCGGCCGCCTCCGTCCTCTTGTCGTCGTACTCCTCCAGCAGCGCACCCCACTATCGTCATCATTCCCATCATTGCGACAGAGCCTCTCTTCCATCCTGCCTTCGACCCTTCTACCACGTCCTCTCAATCATTCCATTCGTTGTCCCTTATACATTAAAAAAATGAGAAGCAAAATGGAATTGAATGGTGGATTAATTATATTAATACCAAATATGGTATGATGGAGACGACAGGGGCGGCCGGGCTACTATCGGTGGCCAAAGTGGGTTGCTGGTGGATGAAGGGAGCAGCTGGGGGGGTAGTGGTGGCGACGAGTACTGCGGCCGCACAACCGGTCAATTTTTTTCGGAGTGTTTATTATAATAAAATAATTTTAAAAACAAAAAGGATATGAGGATAAAAGTGTAATTTGAACTTGTTAATTAGGGCGATTGCATAAAAGTTAGGGCGACAATTAGCAAACCCCTTTAAATTTGTGACTGAACTTATTTCGCTTGTTTATGGTAACAAAAATAAGATCTCCTAGCTAAACTGCAAAGATTTACTAGTTGAGAATACAATTAGAGGTGACAATCCACAAATCCAATCCAATCCAATCCATCCACTAAACTATCCTATTAATCCAAATCCTATTGGTGGTTTAATGGATTGGAATTGGATTCATGGATATTTGAAAATTTACTTGTTGATATCTTAAATATTTATCATGACATTTTAGTAGCTACACTTTTAGAAATTTACATATTGGTCCAATGTTTACATGACACTTGGATCCATCAATCCGATCCATCAATCCATTTGACCCTATTCATAAATCTATCAATCCATGAATCCAATCCATTTGCCACTTCTAATTACCATCATTCATGAATCATGAGTGCATTTTTTTTTGTCTTGCCTTCAATTTTCATTCTTTCACATGATTAACAATTTTTGTCCAACTCATTTCATCCTTTATTATCAAAATTCATTTCTTGTTGACACTACTTATCTAGTTAGTATAACATGTGAATATGAAGAAGGAATGTAGTTGATATTTGAATCGAACCAAATCAGACAAAAAAAAAAATATAGTAATTCAATCCTTGCCTAAAAAGTCTTTTACTTTAGTCCGCCATTATCGTGGTTTGGTACTCCCGTACTCCACGCTTTCACCCATCAATGGCTCATCGCCACTGTCATTGTCCGAATAGTTTTGCGACGGACCACATCTCACTAATATATACGATTAATCCTGTCATCCATTTTTGTCCTTAATTAGACTATTATTCCAAGTTGGCCATCCATCCTTCGATGACTATTTACTTTACTTTGTGAGCTGTGACAAACTGACAATGGCGCAGCTCAACTACCCCAGTGAAAGCAGCCCATCAATGATCGGCTCAATTATTAACAAGTGATTTGTCGTCCTTCAAAGTTCAAACCTCTGCTTTCATGGGGAAAGAGGAAAGAAAAACTGAAAACCTTCCACTGCTTTGTCTTATTACTCAAACAAAATGATCATATTGGCATTCAGTTTGACATGTGACGAAATTAGCCTTGCCAGGACAGAGTAACTGTTTCTTCTTCTGTTAAACAAACTTGATGACAACCATTAGAAGCTACATTGATATACCCAGAAGAAGAGAGGGGACATACATGGAATCTCAATCACAAGTGGGTAAAACTCTATGAATCTCGTTCTCCAATTCAATCTGACTTCTTTCAGGAGAAGAGAGGGGACATACATGGAATCTCAATCACAACTGGGCAAAACTCTATGAATCTCGTTCTCCAATTCAATCTGACTTCTTCCAGGGATCTTCTTCATCCCACTGTTGGGACTTTTAGGTACGAGGGTACATGTACGATAGCCCGAAACTGGGTGATCAGGATTGTAATAGAGTCGTGAACAACGTTCACTTTCCGAAAAGAATATTTCCACCCTCTACAAAGCCTTGGGTTACAGGAAATTTCTCCCGAGGATAAAACTATCACCACTTTAGGTTCTAAGCTCAAGAACACTAAAGCATACTTAGAAATTTTTGGAAGAAAGTAGAAGAATATGTTTGATGGTGTGTGGCATCATGCACCCCACACACATATTTATAGGGGCCGGATCCATGCATTGTTTCATGAAAGGTTGCCTTTATCCATACGAAAGGTTGCATTTATCCATATGAAAGGTTGCCACTATCCATATGAAAGGTTGCCCTTATCCATATGAAGGGTTGCCTTTATCCTTAAGGTTATCCTTATCCATAAAATAATGCAACCGCCACTAGGCCAAGGGGATGTGTCCCTTCACGGAATTAGAATATCGGTTCGGTCGGTCTAATCCCAAACTGGTTGGTCGGTCCAACCCAAAACTGATTTGACTTGGTTAGTCCGGTTCAACCAAATTTCCAACACCCACTCCTGTACATCGCCTCCCTAACACTTCTCTTCTTTTCCCAATCAGACATTCTAGCATAGATATTCGAGAGCAGCACATAATTCGACTCATACAACGGATCGTTCCTGATTAGTTGCCTGCTGATCTCCTCTCCAAGCTTCAGCTCTCCAATGGCGCGACACGCGTTGATCAAAGTCCGCCAAATGATGGGGTTAGATTCAATAGGCATCTCTTGAACGAACTGGAACGCCTCTGTAACAAGCCCTGTCCTACATAACATATCCACCATGCATGCATAATGCTCAATCTTGGGTTAAATCCCAAAACTGGCTCTCATTGATTGAAAATACTCTCTTTCCTGTTCGATCAAGCCCGAGTGAGTGCAAGCTGAGAGTAAGGAAATGAACACAACGCCATCTGGTACTACACCGCTTCCTACCATCTCCTCAAACAGAGCAACAACTTTGGTCCCTCGACCATGCATTGCTAGACCGACGATGACTGAGGTCCAGGAGATTATGGTTCTTTTCTCATTTATGCTCCGGAAGAGATGGATAGCTTTATCGACATCGCCACACTTGGCGAACATGTCGATCAACGCGTTCTAGAGCTTGGTGTTTTTCTGAATCATTCCGTCTTCGATACAAGACTCTGTCAACGAAAATTGAGACCGAACACAAACACACACAAGATTTACGTGGTTTCCCTAGCTAGAATAGCTGAGACTAGTCCACGGAGAGGGAGCCTCTCGCGTCAATCTTAATAGTGTTTTGTCACACAAAATATATCCAGAACTTCCTTACAATATAAACTCGGCCATTCCTCAACTATATATACCAGCCGAGTTAACCCTAGTCTCAAGGATAGTTTAGTAATTAACATTAACATATGATTAATTACTAAACATGGACAACTATCATCAACACCCTCCCTCAAATTGATGATGCTGACACAACATCAATTTGTGAGCCAGAAACCAATGTCGAGCCTTCGAGACTGCCTTGGTCAGCAAATCGGCCGTCTGATCCTCCGAGGTAATGTAAGAGAGAGTGATGAGGCCTTCAGCAACTAACTGACGAATGTAATGAACATGCACTTCAATGTGCTTTATACAATCATGAAGAACCGGATTCGTGGCAATCTTGATAGCACTAGTATTATATGTGAAAAGCTGCATGGGCACCACACAGTCAACGCCCAAATCAACCAGAAGTCATTTCAGCCAAACAAACTCTGAGGCAACCTCAGACATGGACCGGTATTCTGCCTCAGTAGATGATTTGGCCACATGATCCTGCTTCTTGCAGCGCCAGGAAATAAACGAAGACCCCAGCTTGATGCACCAGCCAGAAGTAGACCGACGGGTATCCAAACAACCAACATAGTCTGCATCAGCATATGCTTCCAGTTCCAGTGTAGGCGATCCAGAAGAAGGGAAGAAAAGACCAACGTCCTGAGTACCCTTGAGATATCGCAAAGTGTGGTGAACTGCAGTAAGATGGTGAGAGCGAGGAGCGGTCATAAACTGACTAACCACCGGTACAACATAGGCTATATCCGGCCGTGTATAAACCATATATAAAAGACTATCCACAATGCTCTGATATTGAGACCCATTAGAGAGCAACTCCCATCCAACTGGCTAAGCTTGAGATTCTGCTCCATGGGAGTAGAGTAGGGAAGACAATCATCCATCTGAGCATGTTCTAACAAATCCACAATATATTTTCGTTGACTAGCGAGGAGTCCTTCTGGCCGGCAATCAACCTTGAGGCCAAGGAAGTAAGAGAGATCCCCAAGCTCCTTTAAGTTGAAGGAAGTCCGTAGGATAACCGTAAGTTCCTGAATACACTGCTGATCATCACCACTAATCACGATATCATCAACATACAACAGTAAGGCCACAAGAAGTACGCTGTAAGAACCAAAGCAGTCAAAACGAGATTTTACCCAAAATTGAAAACTGAGGTAAAATCGGAATCCTAAAATCGAATCGTAAAATCGTAGGATTTTAAGTTCCATATGGAAACAAACATATAATCATATTAATAAGGTAAATCATTTAATAACACACAGACACATAACATTTAAAATGATCTCAAGATTAATGTTCCAAAATCATCATTTTCATTGTTATTTAATGCATAACTCAAAATAATTCACGAGGAAAGGATAGAGCTCATGTGGCTTAGCTCTTGTTTTTCATGTTGTGTCTAGTTAGTTTAACTCAAAGTAGTACTTCGGCCCGATTAATTTCAACATCGTCTGCTAATCATGATTTAAAACTAAGAATAAAAGAACCCCAATAGAATAATTAATGCTAGTGTTTGATAAAAATATAATCATTAATTGTTAATAATGATGTCAATTCTTACGTACATACAATATTAGGAAAACTATTTTACCGATGAGTTCAACCGGACGAAGGGAAAGGGATAGACCGCGCCCTAATTTGATTATTTTTTTTTCTTTTCAAATATTTTTAATAGAAAAAATATCTTAGAAGATGCCCATCATTACCCTTTCCGCCGATGCAGTTCCGTTTTTTTTTTATAAATTTGCTCAAACCACCCATTTTGTTCTCATACGATTTAAATCCCGATTTTGGTACGATTTTATGATTTTAAAATTTTAATCCCGATTTTAAACGATTTTAAGGTCCACCGATTTTATAGTAAAATTTGGATATGAATCCCTAAGTAAAATCTTAAAATACTACGATTTTGACTGCTTTGGTAAGAACAAGAATGGATCATTCTCACTCTGAACCAAGCCAGCCTGAAGAACTGTAGACTGAAATTTCTCAAACCAGGCACGAGGCATCTACTTGAGACCATACAAGGATCGACGTAGCCGACAAACCTAAGAGGGATCACCCTTAGTATAGCCCAGCGGACGTTCCATGTATATGGTTTCCTTCAAATCGCCGATAAAAGCATTTTTAACATCTAGTTGCAGTAATGGCCATCCTCATAAAGCAGCAACAGCGAGCAAGCCCGAACAGTCTTCATTTTGGCCACCGGTGCAAAAGTTTCACCATAATCAATACCAAAAGCCTGCTTGAATCATTGGGCAATAAGCCGCTCCCTATGACGCTCAATCGAACCATCAGGAAGGAGTTTTAAAGTATAAACCCATTTGTTCCCAATCACTGAGTACTCGGGGCGACGGTCCACCAAATCCCAGGTATGAGCACGGTCAAGAGCTTCCTTTTCATCATCCATTGCCCTTTCCCAAGGTCCCAAGCCCTTAGCTTGTTTTTACGTGGCCGGGACAAACACAAGCTGAGCAGAGTAGGATAAAAAATCAGCATAGCGAGCAGGCGGCTGGCCACGGGTGATACATGTAGAGGGCCGAGGCTGGGGCGGCGGAGAAGATGAGGATGACCCCTGTGAGGACGAGGCAGACTCCACGGACCCAGTAGAAGAAGACGAGGAGGAGGAGTCAGACGAGCTAGAGGAACTCAAGCTGGAGGGAGAGTATTCTGAAACGGAACTCAAATGCAACGGGGACGAGGGCGCCAAGTCATCACTAGGGGCAGGACCATCACCTTCAACAAGCCCAGAAGAGGCATCAGGAAATGAGGGGAATTGAAGAAGAAAATCCAAGTCATGAGAGTCACCAACCGAAGCGGAGCCATAATGAAATAGATGTTCCACGAACACGACGTGACACGAAATATGAATCCGCTGTTGCTCGGTATCATAGCACACATACCCCTTATGTTTGTCACTGTAACCCACGAACACACACTTTGCTGCCTTAGGAGTGAGCTTGGTATGTTCGCGAGTTGGAAGTAGAACATAACAAACACAACCAAAGACTCGCAGCCATTGATAGTCAGGCACGCGTGAGAACAAAGCCTGAAATGGACTCCGTTGCTGAGGAACAGGAGTAATCTGACGATTAATATAATAGACTACTGTATGAAAAGCCTCAACCCAGAAACGAGGGGGGACCTGCGAGTGGAACAGAATTGCCCGGACTAACTCCAAAACATGCTAGTGTTTACGCTCAACTAGACCATTCTGTTGAGACACACCGGGACAGGACTGCTGTGCCAGGATGCCGCGTTCACGAAAGAGCTTTTGCAACGGGTGCGAAACGAACTCACCCCCAGGATCAGACCTGATAATCTTCACCTGTTTCCCAAATTTAGTCTGAATCATATGAAGAAATTCCCTAGCTGCGAATAACAAATCTGACTTCTTGCGTAAAAAATAGACCCAAGTATACCAAGTGGCATGATCAATGAACAAAGCAAAGTACCTGAACCCAACCCGGGACGTGACTAATGATGGACCCCAAAGATCCGTGTGAACAAGATCGAAAGGGTAAGAATACCTGGTAGTACTAGCCGAAAAGGAATTTTGAGCTATCTTTGCTTGAATACACTATTCACATGTCCAGGATCCGAAACAACATGGCGCGTAAGCCATTTATTCTTAATCATCGAAAAAAGTCTGGAAGAATGTGGGTGGCCTAAACGATGATGCCACAAATTCCAATCCGAAAAACCAACTGAATAAGTCAAACAATGGGGTAAAGAAATACAGGACGCAGACATAGAAGCAGCACTAGAACAAGGAAAATCATTCGCAGGCCATGGGGGCTCGTGATCGACCTCCTCCTTCACCATCCAGTTGGTACGTCCACCTCCTTCATCAGCGACTCCGCCATACACACCATGCAGACGTGACTCCTCTCCCACAGCACCACGAGAAAGGGCGGCCAGCTCAAACATACGACCGCGCTTAGTGCCCCTTCCTATCGCCCTCCCCGTTGTCGTGTCCTGCACAACACAACTGGATGCATTAAACGTAATATGACACCCATCTTCACCAAGCTGACCCACAGAAATAAGATTCGAAACTAATCAGGGAACATATAAAGTATTATTGAGGGTCAATCCCTTATCCTGAACAGTCCCAATCCCTTGAACAGACAAATGAGAACCATCATCCACCGGTAAAGCAACACTAGGGCTAGGACAAATATCTTGAAATAACTGATGAGAACTCGTCATGTGATTAAAAGCAGCAGAGTCAATATGCCAAGAAGAAGCTGAACTAGATGGCCTACCCGTAGAGAACACTGAGGTCAACGCGCTAGGAAGAGATTCCTTGATAGCCTCTTGCATGAACTCGTGAATTTCGGCGACAGTCATAAAAGCCGCCAAAGTGGACTGTACGGGATCGACAGCGAATGCAGGAGCTGGACCAGCAAGAGAGCGAGACCCACCTGTCCTGTTTCCAACACCATGCCCACGCCCACGATGCGCTAAGAGTGGACAAAGATATTCCTTGCAGTAGTTACAAACATTGCATTTCTTGCAATGAAATTGGATGTGACCGGGTTCCTTACAGAAATGACAGATCACCACACCACTTGAAGTACGATGGAACTAAGGGCGATTCTCATGAACAGCAAAAGCACTCCCAGAGTCGACCGAGTAAACATCAAGCTGAGCTTGACTCCAAAGTCGAGTCTCCTCGCGAAGGAATTCCCCAAGAGCATCCTCAATGGAGGATACATTGCGGTGGAGGAGAGAGGCACGAATGCTCTCATACTCAAGTCTCAAGCGCATCAAGAAAGACATGAGCCGAGTGGCCTCCCTCTCTTTTAGCATCCCAGCCTAGTCTTCCAGCGGAGCCGCGAAAGATAGTAGTAAATCCTGTTCGGTCCATAGATAAACCGCAGCCTGGTAGCAAGCTCGGATATCTTTGTCGGCCTGTTCTAGACGAGCAACAGTCGTCTCAATCTCAAACTTGCGAGAGGCATTAGTTTTAGAGTGAATACGCGGCAAATGCTGCCAAATACAATGAGCAGTCGTGAAGACCCGAAGACTCAAATCAATGCCCAAATCAACCAAAGATAAAAATCCAAAACATCAACAGAGCATTGCTCGCCTCCCAATCTGCCTTCTCCTTGTCCGTCGCGGTATCAGGCGGACGCGGCACGGTCCCATCAAGAACCCCACTCAGTCGATGACCTTGAACATAGAGACGGACATGAAGTTCTCAAAGAGGGAAATTCCTCTCCATAAGCCAGACAGAAATCCCATCGTGCTTCCCTTCCACATAACTCATGATAACCCAACAGGAGAAATAACAACACACACAAAATCCAACCGAAAATCACCAGCCACAAAAAACCAAGAGAAACAAGAAGAAAGCCGGAGAAGATAACCGAAACGCAGCTGCCAAGAAGACCCAAATGCTGCCGCAAAGCACAGAGGAACACACAAATAACCGAATCCCACGATTAAGCCAAGAAACCACGTAGAGGCTATGATACCATGTCAAACTATACCATGTCAAACACGCACAAGATTTACGTGGTTTCCCCAGCTAGAATAGCTGAGACTAGTCCACTGAGAGGGAGACTCTCGAGTTAATCTTATTAGTGTTTTGTCACACAAAAATACATCCAGAACTTCCTTACAATATAAACTCGGCCATTCCTCAACTATATATACCAGCCGAGTTAACCCTAGTCTCAAGGATAGTATAGCAATTAACATTAACATATGATTATTTACTAAACATGGACAACTATCATCAACAGACTCCACCCATCTACCCAGTTCCAGAGAGCCCAAGTCTGTGCCGGCTGTGAGAACTACAACCATGGTGATCTCATCAGGGTGAATTCTGTGACGCTGCATTTGCCTAAACAATTGGACTGCATCTGCAGAAATCATTAACCGACCGTATCCACCGATCATTGCACTCCAAGTAACATAGTCCAACTTGCGCATTTCATAGAACACTTTGCGAGCAGAGTCGATCCCCTCTGTATCGCAATAGTACATATGAACCAACGTGTTCTGGACGTGGATGTCATCATCTACTCCGAATATCAACACAGACCCATGAACCGTTTCCCCAAGTCCAAGTCCTGAATCCCTGCGTAAGCCTTAAGAACGAACGGGTACGTGTATTTGTTCGGCAACACGCCTACTCGAACATGAGGCTGTTAATATATAAAACTCCGTACTTTGAGTCGATGCCGCTCCGAAGTGTAGCCTCTGATGACGGTGTTGAAGAGGAACGCATCGTAGAGACGGATGTTTGATTCTGGAGAGAACAAGAAAGATGAGGCATAATCGATTGCTTTCAAATCAGCGGAGGTACCAGCAAACTTGTTGAGAACCAGGGGATTGTTACTGAGGTCAAATTTGAGAAGGTGATTTTGAACTTGAATTAATTTTGAGAAGGAATTGCAGTCCTGAAGCAGTGCTGGATAGTTCTGCTCCGCTTCCCTCTCGTTTACGAATTTGCGGGAGGCCACCGGCGCCGCTGCTGCCCAATTAGAGATGTTCGCCGTCTGGAATAGTCGCAGCCTAGTTGCACCAGCCACGACTTGCATTTGAATTTTTATTAACAAACTAAAACCGCCAAGTCAATTGGCGTCTTCAGCCTAAAGATCACAAGCCAAATCGCGATTTGTGAATGACGGAACGAGCATAAGAAACGAAACCGTTATAACAAATAATAGCTTCCGCGCTTATACGACAACATTTTGGAAGAATTTCTTTTAAGAAGTTAACCAACGGTTATGTTTGATCCATGTCATTCCCTAGCCCGATAGAGTGCCGACAGATCTATGGCTAGTCCACGTGGCGACTTAACCGACCGCCATATGAGTAGAAAGGAGCCTTGCTATTGATGACTTGTTCCAAGTAACCGAAGAGGGTACCCTTTCTGATGTGGAGATGTAACATTGATGACTCGATATTTGCACATGTGTTCCCCTTTGTTTCTTGATCGGTTGAGCTTTAATTATCGCGTCTTTGGCCTATTTTACGCTAGTTGTGTTCCTTTGTCATATTTCAGGTCCTAGCACATAAAGTGAAGCATAGGCGCAAGTTTCAAGTCAATCAGAGATCAATTGGCGATTAGGGAGAAGAAACTCGGGCATGACCTGAAGAAGAATGGATTTCTACCTCACTTTATGGACAAAGAATCATGCAAGTTTGTCATGAAAAGAAAGCGGACGATACTACGAGCGTCTGGGATCAAACGGCGACTGATTCGGAGTCCGGACGAGGGAGAAACGAAGCATTGAATATAGGGGAACAGGTTCGGCAGTAAAAACACGGGCGCGCCTAAATCAAAACACGGCCGTGCCCATATTTAGGCACGACCGTGTTTTGGCCGATGCCCGCGGGCGTGTTTTTAACACGGGGCAAAACACGGGCGGGCCAAAGCAAAACAGGGCCGTGTCCTCGACGGTGTTTTGCCCAGAATCGGGTTTTTTAGGCAGATTGAAGCCAAAGGAAAGGGAGAGCTGGGTTTTGGATCCCAAACACTCAAGGGACGAACCAAAGAAAGAGAGGGAGATTTGAGGGCATTCTTGGAGTGGAATTGGAGGATTTCTTCACCTTGGAAGCTCGAGGAACAAGCCCGGACTTGAAGACTGATCATCTGAAGATTCTTACTGCAGTCTCTCTCTTCTCTATGGAGTAACTTCCCTTCACTTAGGTTTTGAGGAACCCTAGCTATGTTTGTTTGATTGGATGATTGTATGAGTACTTCTAATTGATAATCTTGAGTTCATATTCAATCTATGCATGTTTTCATGATTCAATTCTGCTTTAGTTGAGATTATTGATTCTGCTTTGATCCTATGAGAGCGAATACCTGATTAGGTCAATAGAGCACCATAGATTGATAGTAGTGGATCGATTGCTTTATTCGATGGTTGATTCAATGCTTTGTATCGATTGAGAATCTCATTCGATAGAGGCAATCTAGTTAAGAACGCCTTGATCGGTTGTTCTAGAGAAGGATACGTCCCTCTAGGCAATTGACTCAAGAGGGCCTTGTTCCTTTAGTCGAGACTCAAGGTCTAGTTAAGGATTCTCCGCATTGTGAATGAAAGTGAAACAGGTTAGAGATCATCAATCATTAATCTGGCTAGTGGATAGGGGGAATCATACCTAAGTGAGTTCCCAACCTGTAATTAGATTAACTTTAACTGTAGTTTGCTAGAGTAGTTTTAGTTGTTTCATCTTAATCTGGTTTGCTAGATAATGAACTAAAGCTGAGTAATAGTAACTCTAGAGACCTGTGGATTCGATATTTATTACTTGAGCCACTATACTGCAGTCCCTTTCATTGGCTCCACTTGGCCATTGTTAGGTGTTGTGTCGTAGCGAGTCAAACATTCTCTAGTTTATTAGACTGTCCTAAAAGACGATCTTAACTTATTGTCCATCATATGTTGCACGATCTTGTATCAGTACTGTTAGACAAAGTGTTGAGTAGTATTAGACTTTAGGACCCACTAGGAAGCCCAACAGGTTCGACCCAATCAGGACAGAAAAGACCGCCCTTGTTAAGACAACATGACTCTGCTTACACAACATTAATGTGGTCATATGCGGTTCACCCTCGAACAGGACTAGACCGCTTGACAAAAGGAGCTGATGGGTGACATGAGGTAAAATTATGGGAAGATACTCACCTCACACAACATTTAATGTCCCAAATTCCATCTAACTGTGTAACACTCTACACTCACAAATCGCTTAATACTAATACGATCCTCACTACCAAGACAATTTTGTTGGAAGACCAAGAAGAATGGAGGTGATCGGAGATCAAGATTCTGTAAAGATTCGAGGTCAAATCTTCTTCAAGAGAGAGGGAATGATGTGATATCTACTAGCATGATATTTAATTCCCATGGTCCAAAAATGAAGATTCATATTCGACGATTTATGGATCAACTAGGAGCATTCTTGATGGAAAAAATGGAGAATGCATTAAGGATCGGGCCTACAACATTTCTTAGATCCCAAAAACGTCCATCCTTGCTGCCCAAGTCGTCCAAATGTGAAAAGGGCAAGGAAAAAGATTGCTTAACCACTAAGGAGCTTCCTTAAGCATTAAAAACGTGTTAGGAGATTACTTAGCTGCTAAGGAGCTTCCTTTGGTCATAAAAACGAGTTATAGTCCTTATTTAAGTAGTATTATGTTTCCTAGTTAGTCTGAGATTTGTTTTCTTATTCCTTTTAGGTTAGTTTTATGTTTTTGAGACCTCTATAAATAGAGGGTGTATGACCTACGAATTTTGTACCCAATATTCAAGTTATCAATCAAAGTTGAGTTCAAGTTCATTGCGAACGAGTTCTTTTGTGCAAGACTTCTATCGAGGATTCCAGGAGATTGTACGTGTCTCTTATCAACTAAAGAACGCGTCTAGTTGTGGCGAGCATCTACCCTATATCAATTGCACTTTCCACGAGTTGATTCTGTCCGATTGGTTTAATATACCAATTGCCCTTTGTCATGAGTTGGGATTGTCCGATTGATTCCGCATCTATCTATATTTTCGTATTCAAGAAAAGCTTCGAAAATCCTTTAAAAGAAGGAAGGCTGCGTACTTTGGTCATATAATCCGAGTTCGAGGGTTCTTTTCGGATTTGGATCATATCAAATACGTAAATCATGTTAGTTACAATTCACATGTTGGTTGGTCACATTTTGTATTCGTTCATAGGGTTAATGAGAAGAGTTATAAAACTTCATATAGCTAAATTTAACTTGATAAATTACACCATCCCAAACCCATCAAAGTTACCCGCAACCTTTCAATCCTAGCGGTGGAGTAGCAGAACCGAAAAATAGTTGTTTTGGGCTGCCACTTTAAATGGGAAGTTCTATTTCCCACACGTGGGTAGTGGGTTTTCTTTGGCCTCGGGAAATAAATGGGAAGGGATAAAAATGCTTCCCTAAGAGTAGGTGTGTTCAAATGGTTACCGTGGTAATAACCAAATCAATTAAGCATAAGAAACGACACTGTTATAAAAAATAATAGCTTTCGCGTTTATACGACAGCGTTTTGCCGGAATTTCTTTTAAGAAGTTAACCAACGGTAATGTTTGATCCACGTCATTCCCCAGCACGATGGAGTGCCGGCAGATCCATGCCTAGTCCACGTGGCGACTTAACCGACCGCCATATGAGTAAAAAGGAGCCTTGCTATTGATGACTTGTTCCCAGTAACCGAAGAGGGTACCCTTTTTGATGTGGAGATGTAACATTCTCTAGTTTATTAAACTGTCCTGAAAGACGATCTTAACTTATTGTCCATCATATGTTTCATGATCTTGTATCAGTACTGTTAGGCAAAGTGTTGAGCAGTATTAGACTTTAGGACCCACGGGGAAGCCCAACAGGTTCGACCCAATAAGGACAGAAAAGACCGCCCTTGTTAAGACAACATAACTCTGCTTACACAACATTAATGGCAGTCATATGTGGTTCACCCTCGAACATGACATGGACTAGACCGCCTGACAAAAGGAGCTGATGGGTGACATGAGGTAAAATTATGGGAAGATACTCACCTCACACAACATTTAATGCCCCAAATTCCATCTAACTGTGTAACACTCTGCCCTCACAAATCGCTTAATACGTAAATCATGTAGGTTACAATTGACATGTTGGTTGGTCACATTTTGTATTCGTTCATAGGGTTAATGAGAAGAGTTGTAAAACTTCATATAGCTAAATTTAACATGATAAATTAAAACATCCCAAACCCATCCAAGTTAGCCGCAACCTTTCAATCCTAGCGGTGGAGCAGTTGAACCGAATAATAGCTGTTTTGGGCTGCCACTTTAAATGGGAAGTTCTATTTCCCACACTTGGGTCGTGGGTTTTTTTGGCCTTGGTAAGTAAATGGGATGGGATAAAAATGCTTCCCTAAGAGTAGGTGTGTTCAAATGGTTACCGTGGTAATAACCAAATCAATTAAGTATAAGAAACGATACTGTTATGACAAATAATAGCTTTAGCGCTTATACGACAGAGTTTTGCAGGAATTTCTTTCAAGAAGTTAACCAACGGTTATGTTTGATCCACGTTATTCCCCAGCACGATGGAGTGCCGACAGATCCATGGCTAGTCCACGTGGCGACTTAACCTACCGCCAGATGAGTAGAAAGGATCATTGCTATTGATGACTTGTTCCAAGTAACCGAAGAGGGTACCCTTTTTGATGTGGAGATGTAACATTCTCTAGTTTATTAAACTGTCCTGAAAGACGATCTTAACTTATTGTCCATCATATGTTTCATGATCTTTTATCAGTACTGTTAGGCAAAGTGTTGAGCAGTATTAGACTTTAGGACCCACGGGGAAGCCCAACAGGTTCGACCCAATCAGGATAGAAAAGACCGCCCTTGTTTTGACAACATAACTCTGCTTACACAACATTAACAGCGGTCATATTCGGTTCACCCTCGAACATGACATGGACTAGACCGCCTGACAAAAGGAGCTGATGGGTGACATGAGGTAAATTTATGGGAAGATACTCCCCTCACACAACATTTAATGCCCCAAATTCCATCT